AGCATATCCGTCTGAAGTGTGGTGTAGATGCATTTCAGTATATAATATTCCAGAAGCACCTTATAGTTTACAGTGTGATCATATTCTGTCTGTCCATTGGTATAGTCCTACCAGTCAATTACACTGGAACAAATGGTAAGTGGGCCATGAGTGAAACATGAAGCTTAGGTACATGTCTTCTGTTTTAGTAAGGAATGAAAGGGGTAAGTTTCTAAAGAAACTGTGGTACTGCATTGGTGGGAGAGTATAACAGGGTAATTTGGTATTATCAACTTAGATTAATAATACTAAATACCAATACTAAACCATTCGCACTGATGCTGGAAATTTTGACATCGAAACTCTTTACAGTGGCCAATTTACATTAGCAACTCAGTTGATAATACTAAATTATTCTGTTTTAGCAACTCTTTTCAGGGTGTGGGGGGGGGGGGGGGGGGGAAGAGGGAGATATGGAATCTGTTCAACTGATTCTCTTTTATTCACAGTCACTACAAAGGCCATTTATATCCTGAGATTAATTAGTCTCAGTCACAAAATCTGTACATTGATGATGAGAAGCCACTTATATTTAACCCTAAGAACACATCACCATAAAATTCTGTTGGCAAGGCATTGTGTGGATAACACCAAGGGCCTGGGTTTCAGACCTGGCCTGGTCATTGTGTTGTGTTCTTGGTCAAGACACTCTCCTATCACAGTGTCTCTCTCCACTCAAGAGTATAAATGGGTACCGGTGAATTGTCAGGGAGCCTGATGAAATGCTGGGGGTAGCCTTGTGATGGATAAGCATCCCATCCAGGGGGCTGGGGTAGTGATACACCTAGTCACTTCTGGAACCCGGGATCTGCTTGGGCTGGGCAGCTACTTGGCTTGAGTACAGACCAAGCAGTTAGCACAATACTTTTTGCTTAACAAATAGAGAAGTCTTGACTGTGGTCTGTTCTGTTGTAAAGCATGCAGGAACAGTAAAGCACACAGTCAAGGCTTCTCTATTTGTTTCATAATAAAAAATCTGTTACATTTCCCACATAATACTTTCAATTTTCAAAACCAACTCTATTTACAAAGCAAACAACAGTTTCATCAGCATGCTCTTTCAACCAATGACAGCGTGCATTATATCTGAACTTTACTATAATATCAGTTACTGGTACCTGCTCGATAGCATTATTCACCCATTGAACAATTGGGCATAAGGGTCGAACTTCATCACTTGATGCGGAGTTTGAACATCCAAATTGGAAAGAAGAGTAGGAGAAGCACAATGAAATTGTAATTTTAGTATTTTATTGGGGTTCCAGAGCCAAACAAGAATTCTTTTGGTGCCACAACAGTGTCTAACCTAATGGCTGACTCCAGCGTCTTCTGGCTTCATACAGTTTTTGCAATTATTTACACTGTGTTAATGGTGATTGTGTTGCGGCATTTTACCAACCTGTTTGTGTTTGAGAGCCACGATGATTCCAAGAAGACAATCATGATGACTAATGTACCTAAAAATGTGACAGCTGACTTGATCATGCAACATTTTCGGTGAGAAGTGTAAAGATGTTATGAGTGTTTAACCTTTTAACTCCTAATATCTGATTGTTAATTTTCCCCTTGAGCTGCTACACATTCTCTTGTAAATTAGTTGTGAGAATTTGGTGTTAGATCAAGGTAACAACTTCTACCTGATGAGATTGAGTTTTCTCATCACCTGTCTGCTGAATAATGTATGGATATTATAGGGAGAAGTTACAGGTTAATCACTTCTGAGAGTTAAAGGTTGACTTGGGATGTCGCTAATAACTTTTTTCCTCTAGAATATTATTGTTTCACCTAAAATTAAAGTAGCTTCTCACAATTTGCACAGTGACTAGTAAACCCTTTCACTCCTAGTGACCAATGAAGAATTTCTCTCATTATTTTGATCACATTGTAAAGCAAAAGTGATGAGGAGAAAGAAACGAACAATTTCATAATACAGCTTGATTGGACACCAAATTCTCAGAGATATAATTATATGAAATATGCAAAAAACGTTGAGGGGGAACAATTTTAAGATCCCAGGAGTGACAGAGTTAAGCTTTGTTTCCTTCGCGTCTGTTGTTTGGCCTTGCTATGCATGAAGTTCTGATAGTGTGTTGCGTGACAAATGCAAACAAAGGCCAGTAAGGGGACTATGTTTAGAGCAAATTCATTGATGAAAGTTGTCTGTTCATTGGGGGTTTTTCTGAGGTTAAAGGTGTTGTTTCTCTCCATTCTCAGCCGTTTGTTTTCCTTCCTAGGTAATCGTTTTATTGCCTGTGTTCTAAACTTGTCAAACTAATATTTGTTGTCTCTTTCGAGGTAAAAATACGTCAAAACGTTTCATAGCAACTTAGCGTGCTTTCACAGTCAAGCGTTTGACTCAGGAAAAGAAAATCCATGTTGATATAAATGTATCACAATTTCGACAGAAAATGACTTTGTTCTGCCACTACAAACAGGTTGAATGATTTTGGGCGAATTAGCAAAGGAGATTGGGGGCGAATTTGCAATGGGCGAAACCTCCAGTTATCTAGAGAGAACGAAAAACCTGGCTTGTATACGCTCTCGCATTGAGCGTTTGGATCATAGACTATTGGATTCGTAGGCCATAATCTCTCTTGCATTTCTCTAGGGAAATCTATGGTGAATCACAAGTCCTTGAAGTCCAAGTTGCATTTGACTTTGTAAAACTGAAGCAAGCGCAGAGAAAAGTTCTTGCCGCTCAGATGGGTAGGGAACACTGCGAAGAACTTCTCCGCAAGACTGGGGAGAGACCGTTAACCACAGTCAGTACCAACAAGCTGTCTCCTTGTTGCCACTGCTGTGGCGCCAGTCACGTGGATGGGATTGAGTACTTTACTGAAGAAGAGGAAGATGGGAAAGTCGAAGCTGATCAACAGAGGCAAAAGCTGAAGAGTCTGGGAATAGCTTTTGTGACATTTGAAAATGCAAAGATTGTTCAGAGGTACAACAATTCTAAATTAATGGAAGCTAGTGTAACAGACCTACTTATTAAGATGTGCGCGGATGTTGGTCATGCTGTTTTTCTGTTATTGATCGAGATGATATTAAGATGCATTTTTTTAAAGAAAATTTCTCAGAGTAATGACAGCAACATTGCCAACATTTTGCTTGCGTGCGAGCAAGCTTTGATTATAAGTGTGCAGTACGCGCTTTATTCCGCCCGCGGGAAGATTGGAGATAAGTCGGAGAGAGCCTGGCTGGGAGTCTGGCACTAATCAGTGCCAGGCCCCTTGTACACCTCTCGCCGGCTCACTCTGCTCCAGGCATCATACTTTCCCGCGGGCAGTCGAAGAAACCCTCGGGCCAAACCGCTGATAATGACGGCCAGCCTTATAATCCTTCAAATATTTTTTGCTTGCGTGATTGGTCGAAGCGCGGTCACAGTCATATGACTATCGCTAACGGTGTTATATTACAGTAAAGGGAACGGGGCGGTCCGACTGGCCGAACAGAGAGAATCTCGTCAGTTCAAAACGTCGAAGGAGAAGTCGCAAAGAAAGTACTTCTGCTTGAAATCAAAGAGCGAATTATCGCTTGAAATGTAAATAAACATTAGCCGAAATTAACATAAAAGCCATATTCCTTCAAATTGACGTGATCAACAAATTCGTCATTTTTCATTGAATAGGCCAAAAAGTACGCTACCATCGCCAGAGTTCGTTTTTGCTCTCCCTCGCTCTGACGAAGAACTGACGTCCGACAAGTTAGCTTTAGAAACTGCTTGCGGTGGCCACGCCGCAGGCGTTAACATTATCAACTCAGTTGTTAAAGAAATTTATCTTTCAATACATCCCACAGAAGCAGTACCACAGTTTCTTTGGAAACTGATCCCCTCTTTTTTTCATTTTTCTCTGTCTTGCAGATGTCTGAAAGACTTCAACACAATCAGGCATGGAAGTCCAGAATCGTCTGTGTCACGGAGGATCTTTTCAGACCACTGGAATGTGTCGCAGGCTCCATTCGCTGGGGACATTATCTGGGAACACCTTTCCGTAGACAATGAGAGTTGGTGGGTCAGGGCAGTTCTTATCAATACATTGCTGTTTATCTTTGTCCTATTTCTCACCACGCCGGCTGTGGTACTGTCTACTTTGCAAGAGTTGGAGGCCAGTGTCGGTGAGCAGTTTATTTTTCCAAACTGTTTATTTCTTGAAAAAAAAAAAAGAAGGCTGTCTTGTCTAGGTTTGGGTGACTTTATTTTCAACATTATTTAGCTAAAACACACACGCCTATTAGCGTGCAAAGCACTAGTCACCTGACTAGTGACATGACTAATGAATAATATTACTTGAAAGTGCTGCTCAATCCTTCAGTAAAAGTTCGAATTACCTATCACTTCTTTCAGAGTTCTTAGTCTTCTGACAACAAGCTGAAATAAGTTACAGAGTTATCCAGTGATTGTTTTTTATCTTTCTTTCCCAAACTTCGCAGCGAAAAGCAATCCAAAGCTCGCTGTCCCTCCAAGTCCATTTCTCACTCAGTTCTTGCCCACTATCTTGCTGTGGAGTTTTGCGGCGATCCTTCCAGCGGCTGTGTCGTGGTCAAGTTATTTTGAAGCCCATTGGACAAGGTACGGTACGATTTTGAAGGAAATACATGCTAATGTTTGGGAGTAAGGGGTTAAAAGTGAGTAATTACGATGAATAACAGCGAGTAATAATGAGCGTAACGTTTATTACAGAAGCAATCGTTAAAGGTGAACTACCATTTCCCTCAATCTTGAAGACTTCCTAAGCCTGTGGAAACTCTTGTTCACATTTCATCAAATATTTAAAGTTGGTCTAAAAACGCCAAAGGGCAAATTGCCGGAAGGTCATTTTTTTGCCGTTTGCCATTTGTCACGGAGATACAAGACGGAAGCCGGTTACCGGCGGTCTACCGCTGACCATAAGACCTCTTACCGCCGTCTGTTTAGCCTGCGAGCCGCTTTTCGTGTTTGGATTTAGCCTTACGGCTCCTTTCAGGGCTGCAGTCGCCGATAACACCATCGGCAACCTCTTATGGAAACCTTTGTTAAAACGGACTGCTTAAAGTCTAGACCCACATCTGAAGCGACTTTTTCGTGAGACAAACGATTTTACTTCGCAACCAATTACTTACTCTATCTACAACCGAAAACTGCCTTTTTCGGAACTCCCTTCTCTTAAAGCACCGCACTTCGCGATGAGAATCCTTTTTGCCCTTAAAATCGTTTAACGTTTTAAATTAAAAGTTTCAATGTGAATTCCTTGTATCGAGGAAGATATTTGGAGGTTTTGCCCCATTGCAAGTTCGCCCCTGCCACCTTTGAGTGTTTCTGCCCCCACCCTAAGTAAAACAACTTCGCATCGACCTTAACCAGTTCTCCCCAAAATCTTTCATGCCGTTTCTGTAGAAATCATATTTTCATCAACATGCATTTTTTTTCTGAGTCAAACGCTCGACCTCGCTAAGTCGCTATGAAACGCTTGGCTCAAGGACATGTGGGCATAAGTATTTTAATAAACATACTCATATGTTGCTGGGCTCAGCGTATTCAAAAGCTGCGAAATACATAAGTTGTCCTTTGCTTGAGAATACTTACAAATGAAAATTTTATATTGATATTTGCACAAAAGAAATTTGATAAATTTAATAGTAATTTAATAAATTATTTGTTGGCAGCCAAAGGGGCCATTATTGTTTAGTTTGTAGCTAGAAGTAAGAAAGCCCTTGATGTTGTCTCTTATCTTTTTGCAGGTCAAAACTCGAGCATTCTGTGATGGTCAAGACTTATATCTTCCTAATGCTGATGTTAATTATTCTTCCGTCTCTGGCTCTCACCAGGTAAACAATTAAGCTGAGTGATATGTGTTTTTTTTTTAAGACTGTTAAAACCGAGTTCACCGTTGCTTCTATTATGAAGAGTATTTGTACTTGAGCAGTTTTTAGCTGAACGTCGAAAGTGAATCAGGATTGCATTTTTTGCGGATAACTACACTTCGGGATTGGTCGAGAAAAATCGAGGTAATTTGGTATTATCAAATGAGTTGAT